GGACTGGCCTTCTGACAACCATTTTTTTTAATCAATTTATTGGGGCTCATACAATTCATCACAATACATAGATCAATTGTGTAAAGCACTTCTATATATTTGTTGCCCTCATTATTCCCAAAATTCGCTTTCCTCTTGGGTTCCCAGAATCAGCTCATTTTCCTTTTTCCCCCCTCCCCTTCCCTTCCTCCTCCCCTCTCCCCCATGCACCCTTGATAATTTATAAATTATTATTGTATCTTATATTACACTGTCCGGTGTCTCCCTTCACCCACCCCTCTGCTGCCCGTCTCCCAGAGAGGAGGTTATATGTAGCTCCCTGTGATCAATTCCCCCTTTCTACACCCCCCTTCCCTCCTGGTATCGCCACTGTCACCCCTGGTCCTGAGAGGTTCATCTGTCCTAGATTCCCTGCGTTTCCAATTCCCATCTGTACCGCTGTGCATCATCTGGTCTAACCAGGTCTGCAAGGCAGAATTGGGGTCCTGGTAGTTGTGGGGAGGAAGCGTTTAAGAACTAGAGGAAGGTTGTGGGTTTCATTATTGTTATGCTGTACCCTAAGTGACTCATCTCCTCCCCACTACCCCTCTGCAAGGTATGTCCAGTTGTCTAGAGATGGGCACTGGGTCTCCTGACAACCATTTTGACTAAACAGTATGGCTCTTGCCTTAAAGAAGTTTAAGAGGTGTTTTCACCATTCTGCTCACTCCCCAGGTACAAATGAACATCCAGCACCTTCATATGCACCATTTGAGTTAGGAATAACCAAAGACAATTTTCTAAGAATTAAAACCTTCACTTTCCATACCCTTTCCAGGAAACAACTTAGTAAACTGCATTTGTGGCCATAGCTGACCTCAGGCTAGCCAAAGAAGAAAAATTGCTATAAGGCAGAGGTCAGACAAGACTCCACTCTGCCTTTCATGATTTGTTTTTCTAATACCCCACTCCCTAGGTATCAAAATGTGCCCGTGACACACACACACACACACACACACACATATATATATATATTATATATATTTATATATATATTATATATATATATTTATATATATATATGATATATATATATGTGTGTGTGTGTGTGTGTAAGAAAGAGATTTATTGTATGTCAAGAAAGCATCCCCAGCCCAGTCCAACTCAAGTCTGTAAGCCTGATACTAGTCCTTAAGTCTCTATTCAGACTCATTTAGTCACATGTATTGATGCAGAAGGCAGGAAGATCACAAGCCAGTTGGTGCAAAGGCTCAGTGATCAGGGTCCAGGGAAACATGGCAGGGCTCTGGCAGCTCTCTGGGTGGCCAGCACACAGAAAGGAGATAGGTAGAGAGAGGGGGAGGTTTCCAGGGTCCTCCTTATCCGAAGGCCACACCCCCAAGCAGGTACCATCAAGACGTGACCTATTAGGTTGGATACTACCCCTATATTTGTATATATCTTCTAATTGACATAAAATTATCCGTCACATTGGGTGTGGTGAGTTACTATGGGGAAAATGAAATTTGGTTTTGTAAGTCCATTTTTGCTGAAAGTTTGTTTTTAATCCTTATTAAATATAATTTTAGTTAAAAGTTTTCTGCCAAGGAAAACAGAAAATCTGTAAATGTTTTATTTCCCAGCATGCCAAAGAGACCAAACAAAGTGGTCTATACAAGCCATACTTGGATAAAATAGTCCTATTCATATATCTTATTAATACTTGATTATCACTAAGTAACGGGGATAATATTAAATACATTTTTATCAAATCTTACCCCATCCCACATCTCCCTCACCCACTTCTCCGCTGTGCTTTCCCCAGGAAGGAGGCCACATGTAGACCTAGTCCTCTGTTCCCCCTTTCTCCCTCTCCTTCCCTCCACCCTCCCGCCATCACCACTCTCTCCACTGGTCCTGGGGGGTTCATCTGTCCTAAATTATTGGGGGTTCGGGGGGAGCAGGGAGGGAGGGGGTAAAATGAGCTGACACCAAGGGCTCAAGTGGAAAGTGGGCGTCGTAAGAATGATGAAGTCAACATATGTACTAAAGTGCTGGACACAGATGACGTATGTACAGATTGTGATGAGTTGTATGAGCCCCTAATAAAATGATTATAAAAAAACAACAACAACAAAATATTTTTATTGATTTTTATCTCTGGCTTCATTGTGTAATTATGTGGAAACCACTTCTTTTTATTGATATTGTTAAGTAAGTTGAAAGAAGTGGTGATCTGGGTAGGGAATGTAAGAAAAATGGAAAAATTCTATCTGGAGATAAAGTAATTATCTATTCATCAGACAATGTGTAGGCAAATCATAAGCATATTATTCAAAATTTGATTACAACTTTCCAGTTCTGTTTGATTACAGATTGATAAAGAATGTAGTTTTATTTAGGGTTGAGCTCATGAGATGGTATACAACGATGTAACCCCCTAAAACTGGAATTTTTTTTCAAAGCTATATATTTAAATTTTTAAAAAAAATTTTATTGGGGGCTCATACAACTCTTATCACAATTCATACATAAATCAATTGTGTCAAGCACATTTGCACATTTGTTGCCATCATCGTTTTCAAAACATTTTCTTTCTACTTGAGCCCTTGGTGTGAAATCGCTATCCTTTTATTCTCCCTTGTCATTCGCGGAAACAAAAACAAGTTGCATGAACTGAGATCAGGTGAGTAAGGCACATGGGACAAGAGAGGCATGCTTTTGTTTTTCACAAAAACTGGCACAATGAGATGGCTGGGTGAGTTGGTGCATTGTTGTGAAAAATCAGGCCTTTTTTGTTGCATACTGTTAGGCAGTCTTCTCAGAATCTCTAAATAGAAAGCTTGATTAACAGTGTGACCTACTGGAATGAACTCCAAATGGACTACAAGTTGATATTTTCATCTGTTTGAGAAGTTGTTGGACATCTAGAACTAGGTTTGTCTCAATCAGCAGTTTCTGTGACATTTTTTCTGAGCAAGAAACAAAACTTAATAGTCGGTCGATTGATGACATGCAGTCACTTAAATTGGCCATCACAAAAAATTCACTGTGACCAGAGAGAACCTTCCCAGGCGACGCCACAGGGTACACTAACTCAGAATGAGTTGCTTGATGCTCACGTAGGGGGGGGGGGGGCGGAGTGTGCTTTGAAAGCTCTGCTCCACCCAGTGCCATTCTGGTGTTTTGAGGATAAATATGGGAGAAAGAGCAGATAAAATTTGTAATGATTTAAACCGAAATGCTTACAGTGTTTATACCATGGTTACAACTACAGGTCACTTTTCTTTTTCATATGTTTATGCATTGGTCAAATTTTGTTTTTAATATATAATTATAATCATTAAAATGTTAGACTTGGCAACCCTCAAGATGACAATTCTTTAAAGGGTTTTTTGAGTTTTTGTTTTTGGTATGCAGTTTTAGGAACACATAATAATTTTGGGAAGTATCATACATCTGTATTTCATGCTTTTTTCCTCCTATGATTTTATGAGCAAATTGAAGAAAATCTACAGAAGAAGTTAAACTTTGGAAGCTTACAGGGCCCTTCAAGAAGTTTGTTGGTAAAAGATAATTGAGTTTTTCCATGAACTTTTTGTAATACCTTCATATTTCAGATAAGGGCTTAGTATCTTGAATATATGCAGGATTCCTGTAACTTAACAACAAATGGAGAAACAACTCAATCAATTAATGGGCAAAGGACCTGATCAGACATTTTACCAATAGCTAAGTATCACATGGATAGATGCTCTGTGTCATATCCATTAACCAAAAAAGCCAATTAGTCCCAATTCATAGAACCCCTATAAAACAGAAATCATGATGAGATGCCATATCACTCACACTAGAATAGCTTAAAATGTTTAAATGTAAAATAACATATTAATAAGAGTATAGGGAAATTGGAACTCATTGTTAGGTATGCAGAAGAGTGAAGCTACTCTTGAAAACAACATGACTGTGTCTTTAAAAGTTAAATATGAAGCTACAGTATGACTCAGCATTTAGATGTATATACCCAAGAGACTTGAAAACAGCAACAGGAACAGACAAGTTTAAACCAATATTCATGGTGGCACTCTTGAAAATAGCTAAAGCTGGAAGCAACCCTGTTATCCATTAACATATGAATGGATAAATAAAATATGGTATGTATGTACAATAAAATATTAGTCAGAAAGAGAACTTAAGTCCTGATATATGCCAAAGCATGAAAAAACCTTGAAAACATTATACTGAGTGAAATGAGCCATAGAACAGACATTGTATGATTTCACTAATATGAAATCCCTAAAATAGTCAAAGGTATAGACTTAAGAGTTTAAAAGTAATCAGCAGTATGAGGAGGGATAGGAAAAGGAGGAGCTCATTGTTTTTGTTTATGGGAATGGAAAAAACATGGCAACAGGGATATTGGTTATGGTTGCACATGATTGACATCATTGGTTTTATTGAATTATGTACACATGAAACTGTTGACTTGCCAAATGTTATCTTCTTTATATTTGTACAACTATGTAAAATTTTGTTAAAAAACAATAGCAATTTCCAAAAAGTATATTATTTGAAAAGACTGAATCGTTTGATTCATGCACTTGTAGTAAAAAAAAATCACTAAAGTTAGATGTTGTACTTCACAGTACTAATCATTCACTTCATTAAAAGTTGTGTTTGACTTACATACTTATTTCATATATTTGTGTATACCTGGGTGAAAAGTGGTCTCTAGTGCAGAGTGTTTAAGAAGCTCTGCAATGTTTCAGAGCTGACTTGATGGCAATGGATATATAGTGAACGTGAAAAGTAATTAGTTAAATGTAAAGCTTAGAACAGAGGCCTTGACTTGAGGTCGATGTTGCAGTGACTGTAAAGTGCATGTTGTATGTTCAAGCAGCTCTATAATCAACAAATTTGGTTTGGGCTTTGTTGTTCATGTTCATTGAAAGTTGACATTTGGGAATCTGATATTTCCAACCTTTTCATCTTACTAATTTCTGATTTATTTTGTATTTCAGAAGGAGTTTTGGAACACGTACAGCAAAGCACACCAAGGGGAGAGTAACCGAGGTAGTGACTGGTTTCAGTTTTACCTGACCTTTCCGTTAATCTTTGGCCTCTTCATCATCCTCCTTGTCATTTTTCTAATCTGGCGATGCTTCTTGAGAAACAAAACTCGCAGACAGACAGTAACTGAGGGCCACATCCCTTTTCCTCAGCACCTGAATATCATTACTCCTCCTTCTCAACCAGATGAAATGTATGACAGCAGTGGGCTGTCTCCAGGCTTTTTGGAATATGTAGTTGGTCGCTCAGATTCTGTCTCCACTCGGTTGTCCAATTGTGACCCACCACCGACCTATGAGGAGGCCACCGGCCAGGTGACCCTTCGCAGGAGTGAAACAGAACCTCATTTAGACCCACCCCCGGAGTATGAGGACATCATCAACTCCAACTCAGCCAGTGCCATTGCAATGGTGCCTGTGGTCACCACCATCAAGTGAAGCCACAAAGGTCTTTATATTCTAACCATTTTGACAATACTAATGAAAGAACTTTCTAGCACTTTACCACTACATAAATTTGCATTGACTTGTTTTATTGGACTCCTACAGCATACCACTTCACAATTTTCGATTTGATTTTCTTTATATTTGTTTCTTGTTACAAAGTCCTTATCTATGCGCATTTTGCTAGTGGACACGTGAAGAAAATAACATACTCATGGAGGTCTTCATGTAATGCAATGACGCTTATATGGATATATGTGTGTATGTGTATCTATATGTATGTAATGCATATATACATGTGTGTATCAACACAGTATATATGCAAGTTTTTTTAAAGAGCTATTAACTTATATCTCAATCACCTGTATAGAGATCATTACTCACAAAAATTAGGGGAAGGGGCACCATCAATTTGTGTAATAGATAGCCAGTAACATGCTGTTCAATTTTGCAAATAAGATATAGTTAGCATGAATTCTCTCACTGGCTTTTGTTAAAAGGAAAAAAAATGCATGTAGTAAACCTCGATTTTAGAAACATCGCAGAGAGAAAGTATGAGCAGTCAATGATAACTCAAGGTGCGTAGCAAGAAAATCATTGGTCATTTGTAGCATTTGGTAAGTTTTATAATTAACCACCACCCGGGAAATTGAGCAGTGTGTGACTCACATCTTTGAATGTCTCATGACATTTGTAGTGACCTCCTCATTGAGGGGTTTCTTTGACAAGGAAACCATTCTAGAGTGAGCCCTGGTGGCCCAATGGTTAAACACTCAGCCTCTAACAGAAAAGTTTGTGGTTTGAGCCAACCAGCAGCTCTGCAGGAGAGCCCGGCCATCTGCTTCTGTAAAAAAGGAAGCCTAGGAAACTTGATGGGACATTTCTACTTTGTCACATGGGATTGTATGAACTGAACATCAATTTGCCAGCACCCAACAACATCATATGTATGAGACAGGGAATGGAGACAGATGACTTCCTTACTCATACGTGGCAATAATTATTTACTGTTTCATTATCATTTTACTCTAATGTTACTTTCTATCCTACCACCAGTCTCTCCAAACACTTAAGAGTTCAGTTAGAATGCAATATTTGAGATTAATGTAGTAATGCTTTTGTTTAGGTTAAGGTCTTTGCCTCAAGATGATTAGAAGGCAACTTTCCATTAAATTAAGAACTGTCATTTTTACTTTGCCCTCCTGTTTGTGGATAAGGTTGCAATGTCTGTGTTGTGCCAGGTATATACACTAAACCTAACTGTAGCCCCATCTAGACCTCATGATTGTTTGTTTCCTTAGGTATTTTTATCAGCTTTGCTTTCTTTTTTTTCCCTTCTTCTCTTGGAATGGAGAGAACAGATAATTGAACTGCTTACATAAATTGGTTCAGAAAGGAAAAGTTTAGGCAGTTTCATATGAGGTCCCATAATATACTCACTGGTAGAAAATACATTAGATCCTTTCAGGGAAATGTCGGTGCCAATCCAAGCCATCCTAGTGTTGGGAGAAAATGGTTTATGAGGCAAAATAATGAATACAAGTTTTGAATGTTTTAGTCTCTCCTGCCTCCATCTTGCTACCCCCTCTTCCCCATCCCTACCCCCACTACTCCCTGGAACCAAAGAAAGAAGGAAGACCGTTGGGGGTAATCCTGTACTCAGAGTCATATGACCTAAATTATTTTGTTCTGCCACATACTTGCCATGTTACATTGGGCAAACCCTGTATCTCTGAGCCTCAAGTCCCTCACCTCAAAAATAGGGATGATACCATCTCTCCTGCCCTTCTCTAAGGGCTTAAAAGGGTCAAATGGGATGGTGTGTGTGAAAGTACTTGGTAAAATGTGAAGTCTAGCTGCGCGTAAGGTGGTAATGTTATTACTCTAGTGCTTTGGGATGAATTTCTCCCCTCAGTTTCCCTAAAATTTAACAGATCCTTCATATAGTCAGAATTAGAGCTTCATAAATGTCTAACATGTTCATAATCTGAATGTGTGGGCTATTAGTTGAACCCTTACCCTTCTTTACATCAAATGCTGTGCCAATTTAGAGAAGACAGCCAGTCCAAGCAGGATTACGGAAATGTTAGGAAACCAAGGCATGTATCATATATACTTGAGTATAAACCTACCTGAATGTCAGCCGAGGCACCTAATACTACCATAAAAACTGCATTAAAAATGTGCTCAAGAACTCGGCTTATACACGAGTATATACGGTATGTTAAATGGGTTCTGTGGCTTTTATGGTCTTCCCTCTGGTCTTAGCAGAAATGTCAATGTTGTTTTGAACTTGGCCATAAGTGCGTGGCCATTTTGGCCTCCTAGTTAAAGCTGAATGTGGGATTTTTCTAAACTAGTGACTTATGTGTGTATACGTAGATTTTCTGTTTATTTTTAAATGAAAATTAAGACTTCTATTATATGGACTTTTTTCTTAGTCGAGCACTAGGCTAAACCAGCAGTATTCAAAATGTGGCCAATGGAAACTATTTTCATAACAATACAAAGACATTTGACATTTTCACCAAAAAAAAAAGTTATAGAAATGTAAAACAATGTCACTCTGTCACTCTTTCCTGAAGCCTTTTTTAAAAAGAAAATATAGCTATTTTTCATAACAACATTATTTATGTTAACATGTAATGGATTTATTATTTTAAAATGGATTTGAAAAATATTTTTTCTGTTTTATTATCAAATGTGGTAACTGTGAATAGATATGAGCCACATAAATGAAAGCACTTTGAGGTTTCGATCCCCAGTAAATTTTAAGATGAAAAAGTGGTCTGGAGATTTGAAAAAAAGAGAGAGAGAGAGAACCACAGGATGAAATTAAGGAGCAAGAAGTTCTATTCCTAAATACTTATTCTTGCAATTTTTACATTTTAAGTTCCTATTCTTGGCTATCATGTTGCTTCTTAGAGATATCTAAATTGCAGCATAAGTAGAATGTGGGTCCTGGAAACAAACGGCGCTTGCTTAAACTGATCAATGCCTCGCCCATAATGATAACTGGCATCAGCTACAAAGCTCACAGTGGTTTGCATATGACAGTGATAGGCTAAACAAAATACCACTTTCTTTAAGAAACATTAGTTCAGGTTAGTTGGTTTGGATTTTGAGTTAAAAAAAAATCTTTACCCCATCTGGTTTTATAAAAAGAGTCTCTTAACATTTGTTATAATTAAGGGACTTAACTGGAACAATATATATTTTGTATGCTTTGTCTTTCTTACCTGATTGATATTACACTCACCTTTGATCGTTTTTAATAAAGGTTTATTTTTGAAAAATACATTTAGTACCTTTCTTATGTGGTGACTAAATAGACTCAACTGGCTTGCATTTAAATGGAAGAAGAGACTATGGTCCTCATCTGAGTAGGTTACAAGCCTCCATATGCAGTGGTTGTGGCTGAAATTCTAGAATGGGCACTTTGTGCCTTCCTGCTCAGAATATCACTATGAGTTATGTATATCTGTTGAAAATAAATATAATGATTTCTCTTTCTCTTTTTTGTTTATTTCTTTTGTGTGTGTGTCTATTGACCAGTGCAAATAGAGGTGCTGTATTTGTTTCGTTGGTAATGATGGCTTCAAGACTGATGATCTGATAATGTGGTGTTAGCTTTAACTTGGTCCTGTGTAAATAGCATGCATTTTATTATAATATTTTTAAATACTTGGTTTACATTAAATTATGGTATTTAACTATTTTTATGTTTATAATAGGTAAGGTTTTCTTACGTTTCTGTGTTTTTGGTATGCTAAATAAAGCTATTTTTAAACCCAAGAGATTTCTTCTGCAATGTGTTAACCATGTTATGGTTAGGTATAAACATGCTGCATAAATTCTGATTAATTGTAGTCTTTGTTTTGTTGTTGTAAGGCTTCAGTTTCTGGCTCAAGGTGACCATTTTAACAACAGAATGAAACATCCCAAATCCTGTACCATCCTCACAATGAATTCGATGTCTGATTCTGTTGTTACAAAAACCATCTCCTTGATGGTCTTCTTTGTTTCTGTCAACCATAATGTCCTTCTTCCCTTCATCTCCCATAATATCCTTCTCTCAGGACTGGGCCATCTAGATAACACGTGCAGAGTAAGTGAGGCAGGCCAGTCTTGCTTTAAGGACAATTCTAGACGCACTTCTTACCACACAGATTTGTGAATTCATCTGTCAGTCCATGATATTTATTCTTTGCATGAACCACAAATCGAAGACATCACTTTTTCTTTGGTCTTCTGTATTCATTGCCCAGCTTTCGTGTGCATTTGAAGTGACAGAAAATACTGTGGCTTGGGTTAGGTCTTCGTCCTCAAAGTGACACTAGTTTTTTGCAGAAGATGTACCGATGCAATACATCTTTGATTACTTGATCGCTTCTTTTATGGGCATTGATTGTGGATCCAAAGAATAATAAAATTTTAGCAATTTCAATTTTTTTCTCTGTTTATGCAGCGGTTCTCAACTTTTGGGTCACAAACCCTTTGGGGGTTAAATAACCCTTTCACAGGGGTCGCCCCATTCATAACAGTAGCAAAATTGTAGTTATGAAGTAGCGATGAAAATAATTGTATGGTTGGGGGGAGGGTCACCACAACATGAGCAACTGTATTAAAGGGTCACGGCATTAGGAAGGTTGAGAACCACTGGTTTATTGGTAGCTTATTGTTCCAATTGTAGGGATTTTTGTTTTCTTTATGTTGAGGGATAATCCATCCTGAAGGCGATCATCTCTGATTCTCATCAGTGTTTCAAGTCCTTTTTGCTTTCAGTAAGCAAGTTTTTTCAACTGCACGTTGTAGGTTAAAGCATCTTCAGTCCTGAAGCTCTTTCATCATATTGCCCAGCTTCTCAGATTATTTGCTCAACATACACATTGAATAACTATGGTGGAAAGATACCCTCTGATTCACACCTCTCCTGATTTTAAACGACTCTATCCCCATGTTCTATAAGAGTGTGTTACCCATGTGTATCACCAGGGACTGGTAGAGAAGACAAGTTTTAATAAAACCTTTAATTAAACCAAACTATATCACACTTGTCTTGTTTGCCAAATATTTACAAACATCATGTGAACTTGAATTCTTGAAATGGTTCTGAATTGGTTTCTGGAGATAATATACAAGGTTTACTTTTAGCACATTCAAAAGTAGCTCGATTTATTTTATAAAATGTTAGGAATACTTCATTTTTATAAGTAATTGCTTATCTGATTGAATGGTGGCACAACGGATAACAAGTTCTGCCAGTCAGCTCAGTGTTTCTTTAAGGTACTAGAATGTATTATATTTAGACCCTTTGGAGATAGAAAATCATAGCTAGAGATAATGGCTTTTCTAAAGTATAGGCACATAGGTGAGAAAGATGAGGCTTTCTACTCCCTCAATGAATTACTCTGGCTCCTCCCATGGCTGCTGAAGTTGCTGGCTGCACAGGCCGAACTTTCCAATGAAGAAGGCTAAAGGAGAAGGTAGCGGCAGCTGCAGGGGGGGTGGG